ATACGAATGAGAAAATCCTGCGTAAATTTAAAGGTTTCACTAATGTGATTTCAAGTCACATCGACAAAGGCATGTTAATACGATGGTAGATTGAGGGCCAGAAACTAATTTCTTCTACATTTTGTAAGATAATTTTCGTTAACCAGTAATTGAAATGTTGTACACCTATATTTTGAAATAAAACATGTAATTTTTTGTATTCTGCAAGAAATAATTTGAAGTAATATTGGTTTCATATTACCAACATAATTATTGTAACTCAAACAATAAAAGAGCAGTATTAATTTTGTCTCTATTTGTATTTATTTATTTCGATTTATTTACCAGTTTTCTTGGTGCTGAGCTTTTTTATTTCATCTACAGTTTACATACAGTTGATAGGGCAAATAAAAAATAAATTATTTTTAAAAAAAGCAATTTTACAAGATATAGGTTAAATTAATAGTTATTTCAATTCTGGTGATAAATATTTCTGACGATGTACCAATAAAGTTTTATAAAATGTGATCTATGTAAAAATTGTAGCTCTTATTTCGTAATATTTTAAATGAAAAATAAAAAAATTGAACTTTTTTCACTTTGGCTGTTGAATATTCTAGCTTTTATTTCGTAATATTCCTTTAAATTAAAAATAAGACATTGGAACTTTTTTTCCCCAGATTGTCCCTTTTCATTCTCAGATGACAAATTTTCAAAAAAATAAGTGAGATATCTCATAGGAGATAATCTCTTAATTGCATTAACACCAACATCACATTGTCTCAAAAAATGTATTTAAATTTTGATTGACAATAAAGCTATGCAAAAAAAAAAGATGACAAATTTTAGAAAATTAGTAAAAAAACATCTCTATAATTAGGAATTAACTGGGAATTTCGCTAATCATAGTTGTTTGATTAGTGTTATGTGTTGTGATGCAGAACATTTAATTTAGAGATTATTACTATTGAAAGTGTACTATTGAAAAAAAATTGAGTTCGGCTTTACCCTACTATGTAATAGAGTTAAAATCGAAAATCCAAAGAATCACCTGAAATACTCATTATTAGAGAAGTAATTCGTATTATTATTTTACATGTTAATAATGGAAATGTAAGTAATTTCGATTATTATAATACGCAAAATTTTTAAATACGGAATTGTTGTTAAAATATGCAAAAATATTTTATAAAGGTAATTATTGATATCTTTAGGTTACATGATAATATATATAGCATGAACATGTGAGTTAAAGTAATATAAAAAAAAAAACAAAATAATACTATAAAACAATAGTTATTAGATATGAGAGATATGATTGGAATACCGCATAAAAATCTCGAAGATATAAAAATAACTAGTGGTGCATGGCATCTTGCCTTAAGGAAAATTGCTGAAACTTTCCGTACCGAATATTAAAATTTAAAAGTTAGATTTTTGAGAAATTTGAAACTTCTTCGAAATTTCGAACCTTTTTTCAAAGCAATCGCGCTGAATTAGCTGCATAGAGGAACAAAATTTGTCATGGTTATTAAAATCTCTATAAAATACCTAATAATTTGATGTCTAATGATCATTTTTACCGCCAAATGGCATTTTATTGTACTTTTTTATTTTGTATCTCCGAAACCTCTGCACCTGCTTTTCCAAAAAATTTATCAGTTATTCATTTTGTCAATACAAATAAATGTTTGCTGTGTTATCTCAAAAATTAAATTAATATTCTTAGCACTTGGTGAGGATCACTATGATTAATTTGATATAAGCGGACTGTTATTTATAAATATTTCATCATCATAAGATATGTAAATAAAACCACTATTTAGATTATGATATATATTGAACTTTACTTTACAACCTTCTTCTCTCGTTACATTTGCTAGTCTCTCTGAATTATTATAAGTTACAGGTATTTATACTCATACCTTTGTATTCCCTACCCCAAAGGGTCCCAGATTAAATAGAAAAGCTCTGGTCAAATCTTGACCAGCACTTTTTGTCCCCTTTGCCAAAATTAATCAACATGTCATCTTATTAATAGGAATCGAATGATTTTTGAATGATCGAAATTGGTTGATTCGTGTTCACGAAATCGTGGACGAAAAATTTTATCCAAACATACATACACACACATCCATTTTTTTCTTAGGTATGCCAAAATGTTCAGAAACCTCTGAAAGGTAAAGATATGCAAAAATTTTCATTTTCGATTTATTCCAATTACTATAACTCACCCTACGAAAAGTTAATAAATGTATCCATGTATGTGCAATAGTACTATAAATATTTCAAAATCAACTATGCAAAGTTCTATGCATAGATAAAAGAAGAGTATTTATAGGTTTATAGGTATTTATAGGTATTTATAGGTTCTATGAATTCTTACAAAAGTACTATTCGTTACCCTACGGGAAGTTAAAAATTTGTTATAAATAAGAGTATTGTTTAACACAAATATTTATACCAGACCTCAGTCTACTAATTCACCGACTGATCGGCTGATTCGCTGTAATCATCGTGCTCGAGTTGTTCGTTTCTCTGAGTCGCCCCATCGTCGTCCCTGCTGATTGATTCGATGTCGTTTTATATCAATCTGTATCAGTCTCTGTATATATTTCCTAAATGAACGCGACAGTGGGACGTAGTACCTTTGTTCTAATCGCTATTTGCAATTTCCCGAAACTATGTTAATCGGATTAAGGCACTAAATGGCACGACAGGCCCCCTACACGTTCGTTGTTCGTTTGATTCTAACTGATTGGACATTGTGCGCCTCCGAAAGCAATTTCTCTGCTCTCTGTGACGCAGTAAGTACCTGGGTAATATTCTGGGAAAACAGTTCGTTACGGGCTGAACTATATTGGAATTGAGCAATTTTTAGAATTTAATTAGACGGAGTTCATTTAATAGAACTGATTGGGCGATTTTAATACGTTTATATTTGAGCTCGGAACAGACGTGGAATATATGCAAAATATATACAAATTGCATTGTAGAGGAATAGTACTTTTGTAAGAATTCATAGAGTTTTGCATAGTTAATTTTGAAATATTTAAAATACTATCGCGCATAAATAATGGATTCAGTAAATTTCATTTAGTCAGTTAAATTTAGATATTGCCTGTGTCAACCATAATGATTAGAACATACGTAAAACAGCACTGCAAATATAAGAAACTAGTGGTGTATGGCCATACCAAAAATATATTTTTTTTAAAAAGATTAATTTTTTTGAAACTTTGATGTTTTTTATATTTTGAAATATTTTGGAAATTTTGTGCTTTTTTTTCAAAGCAATGGGGTTGCTTTAGCTGCATAGAGTCGCAGTCTCTAACGGAAAACGATGTTACAGAACCTATAGAAATGCGAAAAAAAATTATACGTAATATTAAAATCTCTGATAATTTGATGAGCATATGTCTAAAGATCATTTTTGACCACCAAATGGCATTTTTTTTTACTAGATCTCCGAAACTGCTCGAACTGCCTTCCCAAACATTTGATCAGTTCTTCATCTTGTCAATACAAGTAATAAGTTTTTTGAATTATTAAAATCGGATGCTTCGTTCTCTTAAAAACTGTGTTACCGTTTTTGGAACTTTTTGACCCGTATCTTCGAAACGGCTGGACTAACTTTGTCGAGTCGAATGTTATTTGAATTATTCAAATTGGTTGATTCTAAGGTATGCCAAAATGTTTAGAGACCTCTGAAACGTGAAGATAATAAAAATTTTCAATTTAGTTTTTTTGCGATTACTGTAACTTAAGAAAATTAAATATAAGGCAATAAAATTTATGTGCTTATTGATGGTCAATAGAAAATTTATAATTTGTTTTTTGAAAATTTGTTTAACCAAAATATTCACTATTATTTTATATTACTTATCATTATTTAATAATTATTTATTGCATAAATATATGTAATTTCATTACTATCATATTCGTATATGTGAACATAAACAACGCTATATTAGAATGATATAATACGTTAAATTATAATTAATTAATTCACTTATTATAAATCATTAAAAAGTACTTCGTATGGCTTCAAAATATGTAAAAATTATTTTGATCAGATAAAATGAATTATTATAATGTTTTAGGTAAAAATATTAATTGATAATTTTTGAAGTTCACATAATGCATGAAAAAAACATGTAAATCTATCATATCAAACTTATTAGAGAATGCTTTCTGTATAAAAATCACAAAAATAACAATTTTTGTTATCCTGGAGAACCTCAGGTTTAATCTTTTGGGATTTTGATGAAACTTTGAACGGGATAAAGTTAATAGTCAAACCACAAACTTTAAAATAAAATAGGCCTATTATTAAACCGTTTTTTATAGGCCTATAATATTTTAAGATGCTCGGTTTGACTATAATCTCTATCGCCATGCAAAGTTTCCTCAAAGTCCCAGAAGAGTGGACCTGAAGTTCTCTTTGTAAATTTGCATATCATGAAAATTTTGCCAATATTTGTGTTTTTTCTATTTTTTATTTTTCTTATTATTTCTATTGTACATTATTATAAATACTTCGTTTTATAGCTATTTATTATATTTTTTAATATTCGTGTATATGTAATATTTTCAGTCTAGTTTATTTTTTATTTGCAATATGAGTGTTACAGAAAATTACTCTTTGTAGGTGTACCATGATTGGTTTATTTTTCAAAATTTTTATAAAAAATTAACAGTTTATTATATTTAATGATTAATAGTTGATTAATTAATTTAGTTTTGAAAAATATAGAAAGCTTTCGTTTATACTCGGACCATCGGTATATGTAAAAATAGAGAGAGCATTATTAAATATGAGATATATATTTATATGTATATATATTCTACTTTAGTCTATTACAGACCTTCTTTATTATTATACATGTAGGACAACATTTTCATAAATATAAACACTGATGAAATAAAAATATATGATAAACATAACTTTTTATTACAGGATAAAAGCCACACACTCATCGCTTTCCTTTCTCAATATATTTTTATTTTTATTATTCGATATGACTATTTACCGTGTAGTTTTAGCATTATAATAAAGCATTTATATATTATGCAAAATAAAACTTTTTTATGTATTTTTTTCAGGCAAAGCTAGAGACCAAAGCACTAAAAGCAAAAAGACCAGGATTTACAGATGATAGATATAATGAAACGTCATACTATATCGAGAATGGTGAGTTGATTTGTTATAATTATAATAATTGAGACAGATAAGTGTTCAGAAATTCTTCAGCAAAGTGCTGGGAAATTCATAATTTTTCAGTAAACATTATGTATCTTTCCACAATGTTGACTCAGTTCGTTTTTTGGAATAAGAGACAAATGTTTGTATTTTTTTAAAAGCACCTAATTCAATTTAATTCTGATGGATTAGTAGTAACGTTATTTCATTAATATTAATTATCTGTTTACATAACATTCAGCAAAAAATACTATATTTCTTTATTGACTTTATAATGCATTATGTGGCGTAACATTTCCATTACATCGTTATGAGGATCTGACCTAATTTTTATTTAATAGTCTATTTCATTTTATATTGTGCGAAAAGATGTAGAATCATTTTTCTATTCTTGCACAATTTATATTTCATAAAGTTTCACACATTCCCTGGCTTTCCATAATGAATACTTTTGCATGTCATGCCTACCAGGTAAAATGTATAGAGAGAGAGCTTATAAGACTATTTTTTATTGACTAAATAATTTAAAAAAATTTCAGACATAATAATTAAAGTAAAATTCTAGTTAAAATTAAACATCCCGTGTTTTGTTCTGTAATGTATATAATCTTATTGTTGAATTTAATCATTAACTTATAGTAAAAAAAATAAAAATAAAAATGTTTGCGTATCTTTACATTTCAAAGGTATCCGAACATTTTGGCATACCTTAGAAAAAAAATGGATGTATGTGTGTGTGTATGTTTGGATACAATTATTTGTCCACGATTTCGGGCGCATGTATCAACCGATTTGAATGATTCAAAGAACAATCGATTTCTACTGATGGGGAGATCAGCATTTTTACTTAAAATCTGCATTCATACCAAAATAATATAAATAAATTTACGATATGAGCTTCGACTATTATCAAACCACATGAAAACTTATTGGCAGATCTTATCTAAGAAAATGATTTCCATTTGCTAGCTTCATCCATTTTCTACGTACTTACTTAAAATTCAATTTGATTGATTTTATTGAAAAGTTTTTGTATATTGATGATTGATCGTTATTCTCAAGAAAATTAGATCAATACAAAATATATCTCCAGTTATTTGGATTAAATGTATAAATGTAAAAATACATTCTACTATTTACATAAAATCTATGATAGTTAGCAACTGGACATAATATGTTTTGCAAGTGAATTTTATCAATAATTTTGCAATTAAATTTTATCACGAATTTTATCAAATTCACGAAATTAAGCATATATTATTCAGGAAGTAGTTACTATCTTCCTATATCATTATATCAACGTTAGCAGAATTTAAGCTTATTACTGTGCTACAACATCATAGTAATTGGCATTTAGAATTCTCAGTATCATTATATCTAGGTAGCACATATTAATAGTTCAATTTAATGATGTGAAGACAATTCGAATTGTCTACTGATTTATATTAATTGCTTGTAATGATTAAAACAACTAGTTTGACAATGAATGACGAAACCAGTTTATAATGAATAGTAATGGCTATTGAAATTTAATAAAGATATTTAGACAAAGATTCTAATGCATAATGATACTGTGAAAAATAACAAAAATATGAAAGTGATAATTAAATAGGGTATTTATCATAGAACTATACGATGCCAAAGGTAGTAAATGAAGAAAAAAATCTGGTGGACTAAAGAAGAGGAGAGATCACTTAAGGAAAGAGTTTTTAATTAGTTGTGTGTCTGAAATTGTGCCTTATGGCAAATTGCTGGAACTTCTCGTACCTTAATGAAATATTCGAGGAATATTAAATGATTTCAAATAGAAAATTATAAATATTGTAACTCTCATTATTCTTCTTTTATAAAGAGTAAACAAAAAATTTTAGTCAGTCGAATTTAAAATGAAGAACATTGAAGAATAATGTTTTTTTAACCATTCAAATCGGATAATCCGTACGCCTGAAATCGTCGACACATACACACACTCATCCATTTTTCCTCAGGTGTGCCAAAATGTTTAGAAACCTTTTAAACAAAAATTTTTATTATAAATTTTTAGCACATTACTATAACTTACCTTACGTGAAGTTAAAAAATGATTTATTTGGCTAAAAGTTTACTAACGATAATAATTTATTCAGTGTTTATTAGCAAGTTACATAGATAATTTTTTTGTCAAATTATACTGGATGGATTTGAAACTCAAATTACATTGAAATATTATCAGTGAGCAATTGTTATGATTTTTTTATTCGAAGAATTTTGTCGCGTTTTAACAAATATGTTAAAAAAATTATAAATTCTGTAGGTTTACATTGTTGTTAAGATTCAAATTTTTAAGTCTTATTAATTAACTTTCCGTAGGGTCAGTTATAATAATCGCAAAAAAATCGGAAATGAAAATTTTTATATATCTACGTTTCAAAGGTTTCTAAATAATTTGGCATACCTTAGAAAAAATGGATGTATGTGTGTGTGCGGATACAAATTTTACTCGACGATTTCGGGAACACCGATCAACGGATTTGAATAGTTAAAAAAAACATTCGATTCGTATTGATAAGAAGACGTGCTGATTAGTTTTGGCGAAGGCAAATTAGTTTTGGCAAGTCTAGCCGTTTCGAAAATACGGGGCAAAAAGTGCCAAAAACGGTAACTCAGTTTTTAAGAAAATGGAGCGTCCGATTTTAATAATTCAAATAACATTTTACTTGTTTTGACAAGATGAAGAAAATTTTTGGGAAGGCAGGTCTAGCAGTTTTGGACTCTCGATAAAAATGAGTTTAAAAAATGTCATTTGGCGGTCATAAATGTTTATTGGACATATGTATATCAAATTATCAGATATTTTATAGAGATTTTAAAAATGTGTACACATTTTGTGTAAATTTTTTTGGGTTCCGTACCAAGATTTTTAATTACGGTACGGAAAAGTTCAGCAATTTGCCTTAAGGCACGATGCCATGCACCCCACTAGTTTTCGAAGAATTTTGTCGCGTTTTAATAAATATGTTAAAAATTCATAAATTCTGTAGGTTTACATTGTTGTTAACATTTAAATTTTTAACTCTTATTAATTCTAATTTTTATTAAAGCATATTACCACTTACACCTTGCAAGCATTTTATTTCAAATATTTAATATAAGGCATATTAAAGCACTGAATTTTTAAACTTGCACATGGTGCCACACATACATCATAGTCGCCTCCCCGAGAACTTAATTCAAATATATTTTTCGCGCGTTTCTAATCTCTGTACTTTCTATTCCCTCAGGTCTGCGGAAGGTCTACCCTTACTATTTTACATTCACGACGTTCACGAAAGGGCGTTGGGTCGGCGAGAGGATTTTGGACGTGTTTTCTCGCGAATTCAGGGCTCATCCCGCCGAGGAGTACGAGCGATGCATCACAGCCGGAACTCTGACCGTCAATTATGAAAAAGTATCCACGGATTATAGGCTCAAACATAACGACTTACTGGCCAACATAGTACACAGGTGAAATTTTGATTTTGAGAATTTTTTTTTTTTTTTATTCACCATTCAAATTACAATCTGTCTTAGTGAAGACATTTAGTAATTGGTATGTTATAATATATGGTTTATTCAGAAAGATTACCAAATGGTAATTCATTTGAAATATAAATGATCATATAAATTGAAAAAGATGATGTTTAGTTATTATTAATTTAATGTGTTTAAGTTTAAATTTGGCAAAGGTAAATTCCGGTTTAGTTGTCTCCGATTTTAATGAAACTTTGCATGAGAGTTGGTGGTCAAATATAGCTTCTTGATATATTATAGGCCCATAGGAAATATTTTAATATATTTAATAATATTTATTTACAAAAATATATTATTATTCCGAAAAAAAATATTTTGAAATACTACTCATATTAATTTTTATTACTAAGTCCAATGATGCTTTTGTTGCATCAACAATTAATACTATGACTTAAAATTTGTGTAATTTTTTTTTCAAGAAAGTGTACCTAGTTTTATATTTATTTTACACATTAGAGCGTACCTAGTTTTATATTTATTTTAAACAAAAATAAATAGAGTATTGGTGAGGAAAGAACTTACTTCAAGTTTTTTGGGTTGTTAGATTCTTTAAGGCTTCCCCTGCTTTAGAGGCTCAAAAATCGATTTTCTTTTTTTGAAAAAAATAATCTTGTTGAAAAAAATATCTTCCAAAACTAGCCAAGAATATATACCTTTAAATTTCATAAACAAATTCAAATTATTTTTGAAACTACAGAAATGAGCAACCGTCAAGCATGTATACGACCGGAACGAAAACTTCGACGTGCGATTTCTCGGTTTTTAATTTTTTGATTCTTTCTAATTGGCGGGAAAGATAGGGAAAAACTAGGCGTCCTATTGAAACGAAACAAAATTCATTGTATTCAGGATTAAATTCTATTCTAGTTGAACGTAGAAAAACTTGAAAAAAGTTATAATTGTTCCAATTTTCAAACAATCTAAAGTGAAAATTTGAATTAAAAAACATGATATTTTTTCAAGTTGCGAAAATTGGTGAATTTCTCGTTTTTTCTGGATTTTTTAGATTCAACAAGAATCTATGCTATTGAAAATTTTTATTTGTTTTGATCTTTTTGTTTCGGATGGAAATTGTGACCTGCATCTTTCATGCCAAATGACATCTGCAAGCTTGTGGTCCATCGGAAAAATGCTTGTACCGTTGAGAAGAATGTTGAAATATATAACAACATAACCTGAAAGTTTCGTTTCAATTAAATCTTTATTTTCTTCCCTAAAAAATCCTCAAAAAAAACGATTTTTTGAAGCCTCTGAAGCAGACTCCCCCTTAAGTTATTTATTGTCAGAGTTAACAGTTATTTCTGTATATACTAAATGTAAACTAATTTTAGAAAATTACTGTTGCGATTCATGATGAAAATCAGAAGTATTTTTTCCTAAAATCTGATCTATTAAATTGTACGAACTATTTATTATATGCACTCTATTTATCTAACTTTTTTTATTGTTAGAATTAAAATACTTCACGCAGGCCTATAATAAATATTTAAGATATATCGTCTTGACTATTGGCGCCATATTACTATGCGAAATATCATCAAAATCTATGACAACTTTGAGGTTTCCCTGTTAGTTATATCAAGAAACTTTTTATTGTATGCGAATATTATAGAGGTTTTAAAACTTGGTATTTTTTCAGAAATTCAACTATTTGGTATCATAATTTATGATATTTACAGATTATACAAATTATAAATTTATAAAATTATTTTGCTTTAAGATGTTTACAATTTTTGTAAAAACTTGTTTACAATAGACGACGTATTATGCTTTTGTACAATCGGTTTTTATGTTAATTAATAAATATACATTGATAATTAAATTTATAGGGATGAAATTAAATTAAATGTAATCAACAATAAATAAATATTAATAATTTTGAAGTAAATTTAAAGACCTGCAAGTTAAAATTTTTTAAAACCACTTTCGAGTATCGTTTTATAAAAGAAAATCTACATTACAAAGAAAGAATACATTACACCATCTATTATATAATATATCATACTTCAATTTTTATAGTACATTTTTATCATTTTTAAAGACGATAAAAGAAAATGTACAATCAATACATTACACTATCTATTATATAACATATCATACTTCAATTTTTATAGTACATTTCGATAATTTTTGAAGACCAGTTTTAACAAATTCATTATTCTCCAATTGCACATATAATTTTGATAATAAGTTCTGTAATATTGTATTTTTATTATTACATACTAATCCGGTAGTTATGTAGTTTATGCACAACGGCTAACAAAGAATTGTTTAATTTGCACTTAAACATTGATTTGTTAATCAATCCTTAGTGAATCAGTTTATTAAAACCTATAGATTAATGCAATAATAAATCGAAATTTGATACACATTACAATGTTTGTGAATTTTGATACAAATATCAGTTGATTTGATTTAGTATCTTGTACTCTGACGACATACTAAATAGGTTGGACTAATTATGACATGAAATAATTTTATATTTCAGACAAATATGTTTGTTATAAACACAAATTGCAGTATGTAATTATTGATTATCCTGTACAGGAAAAACTAATATATCCAAGTAGATTATGAATGAATACAACTTCAAAGAAAATTATGCAATATTTTGGTAGTTAAAAAATAATATATAAGTAACCGTAAGTGGTTCTCTTACATATTTGTAAGTTATTAAAATTTTATAGTTGTTGTCGATTGAAATTATGATTATTTATATATCTTTTAAAGTTTTATGATGCTTTCATAGATTTCCATTTATAACAAATTTAAAAATGAATCACATATAGATTTACTAAAGTTTTTCACACATTTTTTTTATTCCTAAATGAGTTAGATACACATTTGGTGAGATGCTCCCCAAAATATAATTTTGTTTGTTCTACTTATTTTTTGCTTAGTTTCGAAGTTGTTGATAAATTTTTTTGAAGTTGTACATATCTGCAGATCTCAGTAAGATCATAATACGTTGTTTTTATTTTTATTTCAAATAAATCTATAATTTTGGTATTGTTTTTTGGGTGTCAGACACGAGGTGCCTGTGACGAGTCAAAGGATCGCCATTGTGCACATGGACGAGGACGTTGTTGTGGTCAACAAACCTGCCTCCATACCTGTAAGTGCCAGAAAGGACTGGTCACCTATAATATTTAACGAATAGAACCCAAAACTATTCGTTATTTATTTTGCAGTAGTTATTTGATATCATTGCATGCTTTGCACGTATTAATATTAAAATTTGGTGAAGTAGAAAGTTCTGAAAACTTAAACTTAGTAACCACAACGATACACACTGTTTTTCCTAACCTAGTTATGTCTTGGAAAAGTCGAAAACAAGGTATAAATTGAAATTAAAAACTGAAATTTGAAATGAAAAATTGATATGTTTTACAACCGAAGTGATTTCACTAAATTGGTATAAGCAAAAAAACATGCTTTTAATAATCCCAATACAATATCCGAGTGGTATATCTAATTAGTTTCCCTACATACAAAATAAAATGTGAGAAACTCCTCGAACTTTTTACTTCACATTATTTAATTCAATTGCTTGTTTGTGTATAATCATAAAAGACTTTACTAGTTAGTTACATTAAAATGTACGTCTGATAAATCAGTTAATTAATTATCAGTATCTACTATGACAAAGTATTTTATCCTTAATTGGTCTTGGTATTTATTTTTAACAAAATGCTCATGTTACTATAGCATTATTCTTCAGTTGTTTATTTACAACTCAGAAATTGCACGATTATTTTATATTAGTTATATTTATATATTTGCAAACATTATCTAATTAACTTCCCGTAGAATAAGTTATAGTAATCGCAAAAAAAAAATCGAAAATGAAAATTTTTATATTTCTTTACGTTTCAGAGGTATTTGGCATACCTTAGAAAACATGGATGTATGTGTGTGTATGTGTGTGTATGTGTGTGTGCGTGTGTGTATGTGTGTTCTGATACAAATTTTCGTCGACGACTTCGGGAACACGGATGAAGCGATTTGAATAATTCAAAAAACATTCGATTCATATTGATAAGGAGACGTGCTGATTAGTCATTGGCGAAGGCAGGTTTAGTCGTTCCGAAGATATGGGCAAAAAGTGACAAAAGCGGTAACTCAGTTTTTAGGAGAACGGAGCGCTCGACTTGAATAATTCAAAAAAGATGAATAATTCAAAAGATGAAGAACTGCTAAAATTTTCATGAAGGCAGACCTAGCGGTTTCGGAGATCTAGGAAAAAAGGAAAAAAATGACATCTGGCGGTCAAAAATGGTCATTAGCACATCAAATTATCAGATGTTTTATGGAGATTTTAACAATAAGTATAAATTTTGTTTACATTCCTATGGGTTCCGTACCAATACTTATCCGATAGACGGTGGCGCGGCGCATTCGCGCTTTGATATTTCGTCTCCATGATGCAGTTAAAGCAGTACGATTGCTTTGAAAAAAAGTTCAGAATTTCCAAAATATTTCAAAATACAC